AGCAGGAATCTCATCCTTATGAAAGGAGTAAAATATTTCGTTTGGCAAAGCGTCCAAAAGGATGCCTTTGCCAAGCTTTACTTCAGTAGGTCGATACAGCCAATTTACACCCAAGTTGAGCTGATTCTCCTTTACAGAAGTTACTGAACGAATTATACCAATGAACGGTGGACAGTTCTGCGATGGTTTAAATAAAGCACAATCACCAATACTAATTTTGCGTCCGTCCTACAATAGGAGCAAAAGAAAACATTAAACTTCCCAGTAATCATATAGAAAGATCTCATTATCAAGATAACAGCTACCCGGAAAAACATTAAAAATTAAAGAACAGATATAACTTATCATCTGAAATTCCAGAACAATACAAGGAAATCACATGAAAATGGAATTATAATTAATCTCAAGTAGCTAAACTGAAATCATTTCAGAATATCAGATGATGCCTCTTCTTGTAGAGGATATACAATGGTAGAAGACAATCTTTCCAGAAGTTCCAGTTTATGTAAAATACAGTGGAACTCCAAAGGAAGTCGTTCCATAAATCTTTTTATTTCCAGATCACCCGACAGAACAATGACAAAACTGTAACAATGTAGACATTATCATCCCCACGGAGCCACTATTAAAGTGTTATCTCTCAATCAAGATTTCATCATATAAACAATTTTTTTACTGTAATGTGTTTGTCACTTGAAGCCATCATATTTCACACAAGATCCGTTTAATTATATCCTATAAACACGACTCAATCATCAATACTATTGCTCTGAACACCAGATGTTCAAATAAGAAGCCTTCCATGTTACTTCTGCAAACTTCGCATGTGCTAGAGCTCAAAAGCCCTTGCTTCAGCTTCCTCGCATAAAAATACAAGTCAGATCCCCAAGACATGGCAGCACGACAGACAGTAAACAAGAAGCAAATGAGCAGTTCTTCCACCAACACTATGAACAGAAAAAGGGATACAAATTTAAAAAACCACAATGACTACTTCCAGCCAGAAAGGAAATTGAATGTAATAAAGATATGGACAAGACTAACTTCTATCCATAACTTCTCTCAATTAAATGCATAAAATAGCGATTGCATCGTTTCAAACTTCTACATAATTCCAGAATTAACATCATCCCTTAATCCAAGTATCTCAAGCTTCGGAACAGTTCCTCCCTTCAATCAACCCGCATCAATCAGTAAGAACCGGACAACATCAATCGATTTGCCCCACTAAATCCGACGGCTCCAATCAGCCAAACTCACAGCACCATTTACCCATTTCCATCCACAACAAATGGTCCAAAACAAAAACAAAGAAAATTACAAAATCAAATATATGATGATTACCTTGAAAAAGGAATCAGGTGAAGAGGACAAGAAAAGCAACGAAGACGCAGCAGTCGCAGAAGAAGTAATGGCTTTCACACTCGCAGGTGCACGCAAGGGAGCTGTCCACATGTGCCGTCCCCTTTTCCTCTCCTCACATGCCCTCCCATGCATAGCCGCCTTGCATTTTCCCCTTCGAGTACCATCAATCCTCGCCTCCTTTCACAAACTTTCCCCCCTTTTTCTTCGTCGCAAATCCAATCCCAAGCACAGAATCTACCGAGAAAAATCTAATTCCAAATCGTTCATCCCCCACAAACCATCCTTAGTCCGCTAGCCTACACCGAATCGCCAACCCTAGGGTTTCGATGTTGATCCAAAACGATTCCCCGATCCAATCGAGCCGCAGATCCGCCGAATTAACGCGCAAAAGCAGAAGATCACAGCCACGTCTCGATCAGGAGATAGAAAATTCCGTCGAGAAGGACAGTCATCGATCAGAGAGCAAAATTTCGAAGAAGACGAAAGAGATAGAACGAGACGGCAAGAAAAAGGCGGAATGCAAACACGAACTTAGCTGCAAGCTCGAGCCGAAGGGGCAGTCCGGGAAGGTACGGGCAGCACGGGCAGGATGGGGAAATGATAACGTGACAGGGCCGTGACTTCTACTAATTACGGAGTTGACCGGTCTAGATGAGCTAATTTTGATGGCACTCTACTAACACCTAACAAAAACTTATTTGACGAAATATACTTAAAATAATCTTATTTTATATTCTAGATTTTTCAAAATACTAAGTTTAAGATTATCTATATAGGTTCATTTTTCAATATATCTACATCGAGTTATGGATATTTCATCTTAGAGATTTTGTCATTTCATTTGATATATATAATATAGTGAATATTCGTATGTGTAATATAAAAATTCACTATTTTCATCTTGTGAATAGTGTTAAGGAATATTACAATGAAATAAAAAAATATTAGAATGAATTTTCAGTTTGTTAATTGTTTTTGTTGTCTATTTTTTATTTTTTTGTTAATCGGGAGATTCATATATACTTTCGATCCAAATTATATTCCTGAGTTTAGAAACAGCCTTTAATAACGTATTTTATTGCGCATATCTCTCCCCACATATGAGATGGAACGGCCGAACTAGACATACCTTTGTCTATTTTTCATTTTGATTCGTTTATTTCTAATTGTCTCGTTTATGTTCAAATTTTCAGGATGTTTAGTAATGTAATATATAAGATGTATTTGTTCATATTTAAATGAGTATGGAGAAAATAGTTCCAAATTTTCTCTCTTTTCGCCACTATGCAACGTGTTTTTCAGATATTTTATAAATCAAAATTTTCTTTTAATATATCTTGTAAAATCTAAAAAATCGTGTTTAAGAGAAATGAAAGATAAAAAAGACCGAAAGAAAATGTTAAATTTTAATTATAATACGAATAAATATTTAAATAATATATTCAAGAAATATAGATTAAAAAGTATTATATATATATATATATATTATGTAACTTGTGTCGCGTAATTTTTCCTTGGAAAAGTGGGTGGGGCACGTGATATTCAAAGCATGAACACAGGCGGCAGAGGTTTTTGGGGCTTTTATTAATGCCACGCCCTTTTATGTGGGAGGAAAGTAACAAACAGAGATGGAGGGGGTAAAACAGTAATTCAAAACAAATGCAGACGGCAGATGGCAGATGGCAGATGATGTGGAGGTTAAGGTTGTCCGTAGATGTGCCAACACATTACCAAAAGAAAAGGCATGATGTGAATGTTCCGTTCTTAGAAATTAAATTATTTTCAAAATAATAATTTAATTTCCCTACTGGATTTGGAGGACGTTATTTTTCTTTGTTCAATAGCACGTTTTAAACGAGGATCGCAGTAAGTTCAGGGGATTTCGCTGCCGTTTTAAATTATTAATATTAAAAAAAAATTAAGCAAATATGCTTTAAAAAATTCTGATTTTCTTGAAGTTTTTAGTTATATTCTTAAAATTGCATATCACTTCATTAGATAAATGATGAGATAAAAAAAACAACATATCACTTCATTAGAAAATATAACAGCATTCATCAGCATCTTTTGTGGGCAATTTGAATCGAATATTGGAAAAAATTTGATTGTTATTAATATTTTGGACCGACTAATAAACAATACATTAAAGCGAACTACATACAATAACGAATCATCGAATTTAATTAAATTAATGCTCCAACGCTTTCCAAACTAACCAACCATAGTCTTCGCGAACTTTTGGGTCTTCATTGGGCTTCTTTTCAGCTTTCGATTACGTTGATTCATGTTTTATTTGGTCCATCATTATACCGATGGGCTGTGGGTATCCGGCACCAGTTCTATTCCAAAATTTATATATATCCGATTAGGATTATATATATCCAAAATTATCTTTTTAAAAATTTACAAACATTATCTTTGATTTTCCGTATCAATTATTAATATTTCTACTTTCTGTTTACTAAATAAATCCTATATTCATACCAATTGACGAAATAATTCATATATTTTAAAAATATGCTAAATTTTAATAATAAAAACTAATTCAAAAATTACAATACATATATATACATGCATACATACTGACCTAAACACATATATATATATATATGCATATATATACATATACATATGTAATGTATGTAATGTGTATAAATATGTATGTATATTTATGTGTGTGTATACACACATGAAAACTCTAATTGAGCTAAAGTTAATTTTAACATGTGATAAACGTAATTTTTTCATTGGGGCATTTATAAAATTTCATTAAAATACGATAAATTTTATGAAGAAATTGTTTTTTTAATCAAACAAATGGACATGTGTTCCTATTCATGTCAAATTGGGTCCGTATGTGTGTATGTTATATGTATATGCACGAATGTATTTATATGTATATATATCTATATATGTATGTATATATAATTTTATATTAGTTATTATTATTGTTCTTATATATAAGGATTAGAACAATTGAACTACATCATACTTATAAAAAAAATTAAAAAAATTTAAGACCTATGACTTGGATAGAAGTGGACGTTTCGGTATTCGTTTCGGATTTGTGTCGAGAATGATTCGATTCGTTTATTTTGGTTTTACAAAAACTGATACCAATCGATTATTATATTATATTCGGTTTGTTTCGATTTCGGTTGCGGTTCGATTCGATTTCAGTTTTTATTAAAAACATTTAGATCTTTTTTATAAAAAAAATCAGATTTTTGAATTTTTAAAATTTTGATTCGATTTAGTTCGGTTCCTATAAATTAAGTTTTTCTAAAATTAATACCGTTCATGAATTTTATATAGTTTGGATTGGAAAAAATACTGTATTTTTCGATTCAGAATCGAAACGAAACACTCATCCCTAGTCGTGGATGTATGAGAAAAAAATTTTCCCGATTGATTACAAATTGGAATAGTTATATATATATATATAATATTTGAGAGATTACCGTAAACCTCCTTGAGTGCGTCCCACAAAGCCTTGGTTGAATCTAGGGCAATGAAGGATTGAAGCACATTCTGATCAAGAGAACCTTGCAAAAGGACCAATGCCAACTGGTCTTCTTGGTGCCATTTTGCCTTTTCTTTTTGAGCAGCTTGTTGTGTTTGCAGACCTTGCACGGGAATGCCTTCTTGTGTCTCAACTTGGTGAGAGGAACTGAAGCCGTCATCGATGGTATGATTCCACAAACCTTTGCTACTGAGTGTAGCTTTGGCTGCTTTCGACCAATAGAAGTAGTTTTCACCATTAAGTTATGATGTAAATAGAAAATAAAAAAAAGTATACTAAATATACAAAAATCGCATATAACACTAAAGTGGAAGCAAACCGATCTATATAAGAACTCGCTTCACGAAAAACATGTGAAATCGAATTATCTTAGTGTTTTGCACAAAGTTTCCGTATATTAGTTATCACCTTTTTCCAACCTCTATTCCATGCAAATAACAACTTCAACAAAACTCTCCAAGTTTCAACTCTAAATACTGAACAAATTCCAAGTTTGGAAGCAAATCCAACTATCCAATTATCCTAATGACTAAAAAATTCTCTTGGATTTCTTCTAACACTTCCATCCATTTTTAACCTAATTATAGTTTAGGGGAGAGAAAACCAACTTATATCACACATTATTTTCGATTTTTTCGAAGATATTAGATAAGCAGTTTCATCCATTCATTAATCTGTTTGGCGTAATTTAGGATTAAATGAATGAGTCTTAGAGAGGTACCTCGATTCTAGAAGACGAGTTCGTTTCTCCAATACCATAGGAACCAACAAGTAACACCAAAAATAGTTGGTTATGGTAATGTCATTAATTTTGAGTTGCACATAAGATTTCGTTCAAACTGTTCAAAATACTCGTTCCTAAAAAAATCAGATTGCTTAATACCCCTCAGATACTGGTTGATTTCGTTATGGGTTCCTAAGATGCGAGTTCATCAAATCGAATAGGAATGGTTTATAGGTTTCATATAGCGTAAAGAAAAACAAAAACCATCATGCAAATCCGAAAAACATGTATATCACCATGGGAATAGATTACTTACCTCGAATCCGATGTAACTTTATAGTAGAATGATCCTGGGCCTATTTAAAATTATCTAAAATTGAAGATACGATTCCTCTACATGTATCTTCATTGACGAAAAAGATTCTAAATATTTTAGAACTGATCTGATAGGATCTTTGAAGAGAATCAGGGTTTCAAAGACTCGAAATCCAATCTGGAAAATTTATGGTTTGTAAGGCATCCTTTTGTCTTAAAAGAACTTTTAAAACTCTAACAGAGTAAGAAAAACAAAAAATTTTGAAACGTCGGACCATCTAGAGTGGATCTCGGTCCGTCAAAAGTAGCTATTAATGCGAAATGGTATCTTTCGGTGTCCGACTCTGGTTCGGATGGACCAGATTCAAGTTTGCCCTGAACTGGACTGCAGAACGAACCAAAACTCATCTCACGCGTCGGAATGGTCTTCCTAGACTGGTCCATCCGGACTAACTTGGTCTTGTTCGAACCGGTCAGTCCAAGAACCCTTTCTCGGTCATGCATTTCCACAGTGCATGTAATATCCCAAAATCTGATTTAAATATTTAATTATATTCAAAGATAAATAATTAAATATATAGAACAAAAAAATCATTAAAATGGAGGGTACGTTGTTGTGAAGGAATGCAGAAACCAGTCTGGAAAAAAAAAGTAGCCTAGACCGACCGATCCAAGGGCGAAGGAAAAATCAGTGTCGGCAGCAACCTGTGGACGCGATTTAATTGCGCCAAAACTAGTCCACCAGTCGCCTAACTTCACTCGTGTCGTAGTGGGAAATGCCAACTCACTCCTCCACTCTTCCAACTGCACTAGACCTCAGCCATCTTCTCTAAAATCCCTGCAAAAGAGAGCAAGTCGGCAATTATTGAGGAGAATTGCAGAAAAAGAAAAAAACCAGAGGAAGAAGAGAGAGAGGAAGAAAAAGAAAGGGAGATAAAGAGAAAGAGAGGGAGA